TCTCCAATTAGGAATCCTGTGGCAAACCTTGAGTGGGGTTCTAATATCTAGCTACAAGAAGGGAAAGGTGTTGGTTGAGGGAAATAAGGAAAAAGAAAGCAGGGCTGTCCTCAGAATATATGGAAGAGAGTGGCTCTGGTGGCAGTATGCGCCAAGGAGGAGCCCAGCAGCAGGGAAAGCCCGGCTTGCTGTGACACAGCACTTAGCTCACTGTTGGGATCTATCACACTAAGTGGAAAACACTGCACTAGTGAGTAGGAAGAGGGGTTCTTTCATCTCCAGCCGCAATCACCTCAAAAAAAAAAAGAGGAACGGCCATCAAGTGGAGATCCCTTAGGTTAAGAGCATAGCCAATTCTGAGAAAAGAAACTTGTTCTTAAAGTCCAGAATACCTTTCTCCCCCTACCCCCACTCCTTAGGCAGCAGCATCCGACACCATCTGATGCTCTGGAGAAAACCAAAGCCTCTCTGTTACACCAAACTCATTTTGCAATGTTGACAGGTTGGCCACTGTGCCCATGCTGACAGCCTAAATGCCACCGCTGCCAGAACAGAAGTCATCACCTAGATCGGGAGGACAGCTCGCGCCTACGATGTTCTATGCCACCAGAATGCCTAGCATCTCCTTTAGCTTCCAAGGTCCCTGACCTCCTTGTTTGCGAGCTAAGGCCTCAGAGACGAAAGGCACAGCAGACTGTGATTGGGCAATGACCCAAAGCCGCCAGGTCTCTCCTAGGAGCCAATGGGTGGGCAAGGATGGATGGCGTTATGCTGGCGGCAGCAGCACAGGGAAGAATGGACCGAGCGGGGCGCGGGGCGCACGCAGCGGGACCCCTGGTCTCACGGCCCCCCCGGGAGGGAGAGTGGGGGCGGGCGTCCCCCACACCCCCGGCCAGGGCCCCGGGCGGCGCGCATGCGTCCCCCGCGCCGCCCGCCCCCGCCGCGCGCCCCCCGCCCCCGTCCCCTCCCCTTTGCCCCCGCCCGACGCTGGCTCCCAGGCGGCTCGCCCTTTCCACGGCCAGGTAGGCACCTTACCGGGGAGCAGGGCCAGGGGCCGGAGGCGCCGAGGGGGCTGTGAGCCCGGCTGGCTCAGTGCTGCTCTCTCTCCCGGTCCCCGTCACCGCCGTCACCTCACCGCCGCCTCACCGCTGCCGTCACCTCCGCCTCCTTCTCTGCGCCTCGTTCGCTTGACAGCTGCCGCTCGCGCCCGCCGCGTCTCGAGCCCGCGCTTGCGCCCGAGAGGTGGGGAGTGGGAGGGGGAGGGAAAAGGGGGGTCGGGGACGGAGGCGGAGCTGGGCCGCCCTGCCTCGCGCCCTGGCTCCTGGGGACCCCCGCGTGCGCATGCGCGCCCCGCGGCTCGTTGCTTTACCCCCCCACCCCACCGCTGCCACTCTTCCATCCTCCAGCTGTCAGTCCCTCAACCTTCTAGAAGCAGCTAGAGATCTGGGGCCCCCACCCCACGCCCTGGCAGAGGATCCCTGGGTCGAGAGCCACAAACAAAGACCTCCCAGGGTTTTTCGTGATCATCTTGTCCAACCTTCTCCTCCTACGGATGGGGAAACTGAGGCCTACATAGGGGCAGGGATTTAGGAATATATAGGATGCTACATCTGGGAAGAATCTTTACAGAAGGGCAAATTGATCATCATTTTGTACCGATGATTTTGTACTTCGTGTACTGAGCACCCTATTATTCCCAGTCTAGAACATGGCCAGCAGCAGGGGTATGGCCTCCAACCTCCTCCATGGAGCTGGGCACCTCATCTCTACTGTCCCTACCTCCACTTCTACCAATGGGAACTACCAGGCAGCAAACACTCCCTTATCCATTTCTTAAAATCACTAAGGAGAAAGTGCCAGGTCAATGACTGGCCCCCATCCATGGTCCTGGAGGAGGTGGTGGGTCGGGCCTGACCACTTGGAACTCACATATGGCAAGGGCACAAGCCAGCAGTCATCCATAATCCCAGGGACACATTGTTGGTTGGAATTTCATTTTTCCAAGTGTGTCTGGTGTCTCAGCCCTTTTTTTCCTGTCACCCTTCCCAAACACTCCCTCTCTTCCGTTCCTTGGCCTCAGCCACCTTAAAACTGACGGCTGCCTGGAATGGGGGCGGAGGGGAGCCTACTCCATCTTCCCACCTGACCAAACCCTGCATACATTATCTGAAAATGATGGCTAAAGCTGTTCTGATCTTTCCTGCTAGGAAGTTCTTACTCATTCAAACTAAATCCCTGCTACTGTAGTTTTGTTTCTTTTCATTTTTCTACTTCTGTCCTCCCTGCAGGTGGAAAACAGGGAGTCATTACCATGAGTAATAATCCTTTATTTTCTGGAAAACTGCTGTTAAACTTCACTCCAGTCTCTACTTTGGACTAAATAATCCTTTAACCTTTTTTTTTATGTGTACTATTTTCCAGCACTTTATTTTTCTTATTGACTTGCCTTTATTGAATATTCTATTTGCCTTTTAGTTGTTTTTTCTCCCCCCCCCTTTTTAAAATTGCTGTTCAAACCTGTGATTTCATTGACGTAGGGTCCTGTAGGCATGGAAACTCTCTCCAATAACGCGGAGTGTTAGCATTTCATATGGAACTTGAGGTCTCCTGTAATTACTTTGGCCATCAAGAGATTCAGCAGTTTGTCTTTGGCTGCCCAGCTGGTATGTGTCAGAGTCAGGGTTTGAACTTACCTTCCTGACTCTAAGGCTGGTTCTCTATCCACTGCACTGTACTGCATCTTGTTGTTCAGTCATTTTTCAGTCAGGTCTGACTTTCTGTAACCCCGTTTGGGTTTGTTTGTTTTGGGCCCTTTCCTTCTCCACCTCATTTTATAGGTAAAGAACTGAGGCAAACAGGGTTAAGTGACTTGCCCAGGGTCACACAGCTAGGAAGTGTCTGAGGCTAGATTTGAACTCGGGTCTTCCTGACTCCAGGTCTAGTGTCCTATCCACTGTACTACCTAGCTGCTCACTATGCCACCTAGCTACGCCATAAGGATAGGAACACTTCACCTAGATGGGAAAAATGGGGTGCACAGACAGTATGTTGGGCTATCGGAGAAGTGTTGTCTTAGGAGGAGAGTTTATTCTATCCAGATGGAAATTGCATGAGCCTGCCTGTCATTCGTGGTGATGGACTACTGTTATGTTGACAAGGACTAGGTCCTTCCATCCCTTGCCAGAGGAAACAGCTGCCAGCATGCAGACACTCACAAGGGTGAAATGCTACAGCAGGAAATCCAAAATGTGGGAGTCTAGCAGCCAACACCATGATACAGTGACTGGCTGAGAGAGGTTCAAAGGAATCCAGGAGGAATTTGAGCTGAAGCTCTACATGTTGGCCATGGTCAACTCAGAGTGTCTCAATCAGCCCCATGTGTGTCTCCCATGGGGAGGAGGCAGTGTGGGACAACAGGAAAACCTGGATTCTAGTCACCAGCTGGGTGATGTTGGGCACATCAGTTTCCCTGAGGCTCAGCTTCCTCACATGTAAGATAAAGATCAGAATCCATATCCTGGCTACCTTATAGACAGCAAATGAGCTCATTTTGGGGAGTACTTGGAGAGCTGTGGATCACTATGGCCAGCTAGAGAACGGCATAGCCAGTGGCCCCCTTCCAGCTGAGTGATCAAAACAGCAGAAAGTCCCCAAAGGCTTTTACTGGGATTATATCTTTTGAACCTCATGTCAACCTTGGGAGGTTGGTATTATTCTCTCCTCATTACGGATGAGGAAATCAAACCTCAGGTTGGTTGTGGCACACCCCAGTTTGCTCATGTAGGTAGTGTCAGAGGAAAGATTTGCACCCAAGTCTTGTGATTCCAGATCCTTTATCCTTTCTACCACACTGTGCTACGTCCTTTAAGGAGGAAATCCTCACACAAGAGAGTAATCTTTCCCCAACCTCTCATGAATCTCAAAGTACCTAAAACATCTAGAGTGTTCCCCAAGTGATGAATAGTCAAAGGATATGAATATAAAGGATATAAATGAACCTGAGTTCAATTCTCAAGAGAAGAAATCCAAGCCCTAAGAAAACAAATACTCCAAATCACTAATAACTAGAGAAATGCAAATTAAAACAACTCTGTGTATCCATCTCACACCCATCAGATTGGCCAAGTTGACAGAAAAGAATAATGACAAAGGCTAGAGGGGATGGGGAAATAGACACATTTGATGTGCTATTGTTGGAGCTGTGAATTAGTTCAGTCATTCTGGAAAGTAATTTGGAACTATGCCCCCAAAGCTACTAAACTTTGACCTAGGGATGCCACTAGTAGGCTGATAACCAAAAGGAATTTAAAAAAAGAACAAGTCCTACATGTACAAAAAAAATCAACATCCGCTTTTTTCATAGTAGCAAAGAAAACAAAGAGAGTGCCTGTTAATTGGGGGATGGTTGAAAAATTTATGACATGAATGCAATAGATTAGTATTGTGCTGCAAAAAAAAAAATGAGAGAGAGAGTTTCATGGATACCCAAGAAAACTGAGAAAACTTGCATGAACTGATGCAAAGTGAAGTTAGTGAGACCAGGAGAGCAACTTATACTATAACATCAAAATTATAAAAATGAACGATTCTGAAGGCAATAATTAACCATGATTCCAGAGGACTGACATGGAAGAATGCTACCTAGCTCCTAGTGGAGAGGTGATGGATTCATGTGCATGCATTTTGAAATGGCTAACATGGGAATTTGTTTTGCTTGACTCTATGTATTTGTTACAATGATATTGTTTTTTTTTCTTTTTGAGGAACAGGGAAGGAAGAAGGGAGAAAAAATGCTCAATAATTGGGAAAAAATAAATGCCTTTGTAAAATATGTAGAATACTACCAAATAACCAAGAGAAAACACTCAGCTTTGGAACTAGCCCAGACTTTTCTTGGTTAAGAATTGTTCGTATTGCAGAATCACAGATTTTGACTTGGAAAGGACCTTGGCAGCAATCTAATCCATATCCAAATACTTGGGTTATTTAGTTTGGGTGTTTGTATGTCTCAGGGCTTAAAATTTTCTTTAAAAAAAAGACAATTACATTTGTAAACATTGAATTTGTAGAGAATGCAACAATATGGAAGCAATATGGCTTAGCTTTAGTGGATAGATTGTTGAATTTGGAATCAATCAAGACCTGGGTTAACATTCTGCCTCTGTCAATTACTAGTTGGGTGACCCTTGTAGGCAGTAGTAATAACTGACTATTGATGTTGCTTTAAAGCTTGTGAGGTGCTTTACCTCCTTCTAGCTCCCTAAGACTCAGTAGCTATGTCATAGGGTAGTTGCCATCTACTAATGGAGGAAGGTCCCCCCATGAATCAGAGTCTACAACATTTCCCTGATTGTCTGTGGGGAGATCTTGGTCCCTAAAGAAGGCCTATCCAAGAGAAGCTGCACAGCTCCCATAGTACTAGCCTTTCTCCAGGTGCTTCTCACATACCCAAATTATGAGAAATAGCAAGTTCCACCCCCTTCTTCCTTCTTTCTATGCTATTTCTTCTTTTTACCCACTGTTGTATTTTCCTTATTCAAACCCCCAGAACAGAGCCAATGCACTCCCTAGATCCTCCGTTTTTCTCATTTAACTCACCCAATACCCTTAGAGGACATTAAGATCCTGAAGGGACACTTGTTTCCTCTTCCTCTGTTAGGATGTTAGCATTATATTCAAGGTTATGCTGTAAAATATTTAACGACTGGCTCTCTCTGAAAAAAAAAAGTACACATGACACACTTTTAAGTTTAATGTGCATTATTAATATTTTCTCTATCACTTTCTTAAATCTAAACAATCTACAAAATAATAAATCAAGCCCTGATTTGTAACCTTTGCTAATTTCCAAGGTGTAAATGCTCACACTGAAAATTTAACAATTGGCTCTTGGGAGCCAATTCAGGCTGGCTCCTGCACACCCCTGATATATCATCATAATCCCCTTACAAATGCTCAAATAAGTTTACCTATCTATATACCTTGACCCTAGTGTTAGTATTTTGAAGTTCCTACTTGGTTCTGGTCTTTTCCTCAGAAATGCCTAAAAGTCCTCTATTGCATTAAAGATCAATTTATTTCCCCTGTAGGATTATACTCAGCTTTGCAGAATAGGCTATTCTTGGTTGTAAAACCATATCTTTTTGCCTTTTGAAATATTGTATTCTAAGTTTCCTTCTGTTTATAATAGAAGTTTCTGGGTCTCAAATCCCCCCAGAAACTGAGGTGGTGTAGGAGAGATGATGTCCCCAGAGTATTAAGGGAGATGTCTGTACTTTGTTTTTGCTAATTCTTTGAAGCAAATATCTCTTCGTAAAAGCAAATCAACATGAAGTAATTTAAGTGGAACTGGACTGCTAGTCACAGGATCCTAACACTGCCAGGGTTGGAGGGGGGTGGCTTGAGCTAATGGTGATAGAAAAGAGAAATACCCCAACCCCTCAGTGTGTACCTTAGGACTCTGAGGGGAGGTGCATCTGGCCTTGTTCTGAGAGAGAGTATAAGACCACCTAGTTAAACTTGATACTTGAATTAATTCTTTCTGGATATTTGTAGCACATTTTCTTTGAGGTGGGAGTTTCAAATTTTGGCTATGATATTACTGGGACTTTTCCTTTTGAGGTTCTTTTCAGGAAGTGATTGGTGTATTCTTCCTGTCTTCACTTTGCCCTCAGGTTTTACTATATCTGGTTGGTTTTCATTTATAACTTCTTGAACTGTAGTGTCCAGGCTTTATTTTTTCCTCACTCATGGTTTTCAGAGAGTCCAGTGAGTCTTAAATGATTCCTCCTTGACCTGTTCTCCAAATGTTGTTTTTTTAATATCAGATATTTTACATTTTCTTCTATTTTTTTCAATCTCTTGCTTTTGTTCTAATATTTCTTGCTACTTCATGGAATCATTGATTTCTGTTTGGTCTATTTTAGTTTTCAGGGAGTCCATTTCTTGGGTAAGGTTTGACACTTTATTTTCTAAGCTATTTATTCTCCTTCCAATTTTTTCATCTAGAGCCTTTATTTCATTTTTTACCTTGTAATTCATTTCTTTAGGTATTCATGTACTTCTTGTGAATAAATCCATGTTATTTCCTTTGAATCTCTGCTGGCAGTTATTTCAGTGCTATTCTCTTCTTCTTTTGAGGGATCTCTAGATTTAAAATAATTTTTGATTACTTGTCTGTGTCTCCCCAGTACTTCCCACGACTTTCCTTCTACTACTTGTAGGAGACAATAGAGTGAAGTACAGGAGAGCAGGCCTCTTAGAGTAACCACAAGGGCACTGTCTCCTTACACCAGGCTAGTCAGATGTACTGCATTTGTGAACTTTGCCTACAAAAAAACTTTTAGTCTCCTGTTCTTGGCCTCTCACACTGCATTAACATCCCTGACACTTCCTCCTTCTGTCAGAAAAGTACATAAAAGGCTCATCTGAGTAATATGAATACCACTACTACCACTTGTCCCTCCCCTCTTCTACAACCCCACTCTGCATTCCAGTGCTACAGCTGTAAAGTTCATAAATTCATTCTTAAGCAGGGTAAGATCTAGCCATTATCCTGATGTCTCCATTTTTATTTCTTCCATCTCCTGACTCTGAGCATTTTCCCTGGCTGTCCCCTGAAGTGCTCTCCCACCGCATCTCTGCCTCTTGGCTTCTTTGTGCCTTTCCTCTGTTGACTATTTCCTATTTGTCCTGTCTATAGCTTCTTTGTGCATATTTGTTTGCATGTTGTCTCCCCCATTAGATTGTGAGCTACTCTTTGTATCCCCAACACTTAGCACGGTACCTGGCACATAGTAAGCATTTAATAAATCTTTATTGACTGACTCATCTCTACAGCTTTGTTTCCTTGATTGGAGCTTTGTGCCAGGAGTAGGCTCCACTCCCTACTGTGCTTTTGGGTAGAATGATCACCCCTGCTTGGTGTTACCCTGGGTTTACCCTGGGCTAATCTTGTGATTAGCCCTCACTCCTGGATCTTTGAGGTTCGGAGTTCTGGATCTTCACAGTCCTCTATGGCATCTGAGGACAGACCTCAGAACCCCTGGGCTTGCCTCTGAGTACTGTGGCTCCATGCTGGTTGCTACTTGCTCCTGTTTTCCTGCTCTTCCAAGGTCACCATCTTGGGGCTTTCTGACTACCTGAGACATTCTCAGTGGAGCCCTCTGGTCTTGCTGCTTACATATGTCACTGAAAACGTGTTGATTAGTTCCTGTCTGGGGAGTCTGTGGGAGATTGTACTACTTTGGGTGGTGGGGGCTGAGAATGAGTCTGCACTTGATTTTTTCCATTGTTTATTTCATTGCTCTGTCCCAATTAAATGCCTTGTTACTTGATTTCTGATTTCTGCCTACTTCTGCTGATCCCGGATGGAAGCTCGAGCCATACTTGCATAAGTATGATTACCTCCATACCCTCCCCCACCAAACCCGGGATGGTAAGGGAATCTAGAGTTGTGTGGAGCCCATTCTGCACAGACATGGCCTATGGGATAGAATGCTATCCTGTCTCATGACAGATTAGCTAGAATGCGATGAAGTCCTGGGAGTGGTAAAACTTGCAGGTCCTAGATTAACTTCTATAGCCATTTAAAACTACATTAGTATTTCATCAGTCAATATTTATTGACTAGCTACTGTAATTGGAGCACTGGATGAGGTGCAATGGGAGACAAAGAAGTAGGCCCCACCATCCCCAAACTCACAATCTAATTGAGGAAATAAGATATGTAGATGTTGTTATAATAAAACAAATGTGAAGTACCTACTATGCACTGAACTTTGCACTGGGGGGATACAAAGTTTAGATAAGATGTCTCTGCCTTCCTGGGACTTACAATTGAGTGCACATAAAAACAGAATAATAAAAAGTTCAAAGAGGCCAAAGAAGTTACCTACTCCAACAAGAGAGATCTAGGAAATAAGTGTCAAAGAAAAAAAATTTCTTCCCACTGCCTTGGTCCCAAGTAGCATCCCTGAGAAGGTTCAGCCTGGTGCTATGCCTTGAAAGCAAACAGTAAGACAGTGAGGAGGGTGTTGCATGGAGGAGAAACAGTATGGGCGAAAGGTAAAGAAGTGGTGAAGTACCAGACCTATTTGGGATTCAATGAGTGCTGCTGGACGAGAGTTGTTATAGTAGAGTAGTAGTCAATAAAGCCAAGGTGAATAGGGAACAGATTTCGAAGAGCCTTGAATGTCAGGGGAGGGACTTTGTTTCATCTTATTGGTAGTAAGGTGCCATTGACAGTTTTGGAGCAGAGGAATCATATGATGAAATGGGTATGTATAGCTTAAGAAGATTGATATGGCAGCAGTGCATAGATTGGAAGTTGGCAGAGACTAGAGGCAAAGAACCTAGTTAGGAGGCTATTACAACAATCCAGGCACAATATAGTGAGTGCTTAACTTTGGAAGTAGCAGTGGGAATGGAAGGGAGGTCTTGAACCATTATGGGTGGAAGAAAGATTTTAGAGATAGAATAAGAGACAGTATTTGATGATTTGCAGGATGTAAGGGATCTGGGAGGAGGGAGGAATCAAAGATGCCCCAGGTTTCAAGCCTGATGCCATTGACAAAAATCAGGCAGATTCTGATCCATCCCTACTGGTTCACCCAGAAGAAGGATTATGAAGCTAAAGGGGGGGTGTCCTCTCCAATAGACTCTTCCCCAGAGTTTGACCACCTAGAGATCCCCATAAATAACAATAACTGACATTTATATAGCACTTTCAGATTTGCAAAGGATATTATCTCATTTGGTTTTCTTACCATCTTGTCTTTTCCCCATTTTATAGGTGAGGAAGCTGCAACTGAGAGAGGTAAAGAGACTTACTCATGCTCACACAGTTTGTTAGTATCAGAGATGAAATTCAAACCCAGGTCTCTCCCTAATTGCACTCTCTCAATTATATAATGCCTTGCATAACACTTTCTCAGTTACACCATAATGCCTCTTCTAAAGAGCCAGAAGGACAGCTAGATGCAATACCTAGATAGAGATACTAAAAGTTTGAGTAATCATTTCATTTTGTGCCTCCCTGCCCCCTGAATGGAAAGAGTACCTAGAACCACCTAAAAAGTGTTATGTGCCCACAGGGATGCGCCCACCAGCAGATGGCAGCACTCTCCTGAGAAATTACTAATTGCTTCTCCAATGATAGGACACCAGGTGGGTGGCAGCAATCCACTCATGGGCTTTTCTTGGAGCTTCTGGCTATCATGTTTTTGTTGTCTTGTTTTGTTTTGTTTTGTTTTGTTTTTCAGTTGTATCTAACCCCATTTGGGATTTTCTTGGCAGAGATACTAGAGTGTTTTGCTGTTTCCTTCCCCAGTTCATTTTATAGATGAGGAAACTGAGGCAAACAGGGTAAAATGACTTGCCCAGGGTCATATAGCTAGTAAGTGAGACCAAATTTGAACTCATGATTTCCTGACTGCAGGCCCAGTGTTCTAGCCACTGTAGCACCACCTAGCTGCCCCTGGATATCTATGATTGCCTTGCTAAATTTTAGTTCAGGAGAATTTCTAAGCAGGTAGATAGGAAGAAGGAATTGGTACTATTGACAGGTATAGACAATGCTTGGTAGGACCATTATTATCCCGGCTCTTTGTTATTTTATCCAACACATCTCCACACTGAACCTTAAAATTCAGCTATGGAAATTGTGACATCTCAGAGTTGTGCCACACTCTCTCAGCACAGACCATGCAAGAGCCACAAGGTCAATAGCAAAGCATTTAATTAGGACATAAAGCAAAGTAAATAACAGGAGAGACATAAATGGAAAATAGAACTATTCGTGGCACACATCCGTCTCCCACCTCCAATGTATGAAACCCAGTAGTAGAAGAAGGATGGGGTGAGGAAAGCCAGTCATTCTTCTTCTTCATGGAGATCTCCAGCACCTCAGGCTCAGACCAAGCACCTTGCTCTATGTGGAGTGAATCTCTTGGGCACTCATTCTCTGGAACCCAAATATGTTGAGTTCAGACTTCGACTGAGGTACTGGCATCTCATGTTCGGCACACCATTTCCCTTTACATCAAACTTCTCCAGTTCAGTTCTCCATGTAGGCAGCTTAGAAGGACCCAGGGAATTCCCTTCCCGTGTAGTGCCCCATCTGCTCACTTCCATCTTTTTTCCCAGTTTGCACCTCTTGACACCATCTCCATATCTAACCAGAAGGCTCACGGAATTCTGGCATCCTGAGTCTTCTTTCTGCCAATCCACTCTTTTGCCTCTCCATTATGGGCACTTGAAACCATGCTGGAGAGCTCCAACAAGAACCAGGGAGTAGTCGAAAATGGGACTCTGCATTGGAATACATTTCTGTACATACGGAGCATTTTAAAATCTTAGGGAATCTTTCTTACAGCAAGGGGAGAGGGATGTGTGAAATGTAGCCATATAGGAGTATTGGATTCAGATTCAGAGCACCAAGATTTGAATCCAGCCTCAGAAACTTACTACTTGTGTGACTTTGGGCAAGTCACATCACTTCTCTGGGCCTCAGTTTCCACATCTGTGGAATGAGGCAGTTGGGCCTATCAGGACCCTTCCTGTTAGACGTCTCTGAGCCTAGATTTTACTGTGTGTAGTCTGAATAGGCAGAAGCAAATCATTAAAGGCTCTCAGGAGAACCAGGCAGCCCTTTATCATTTGGGCCCGTGAGAAAGATGGAGTATCCCAGCAGGAGAATAGAAGAGGTTACACATAGTTCAATCTGATTTTCCTAGCAATACTTTCAAGAAACTACAAAAGATGAGTGAAGGCTCCCAAAGGGGAAGAGAGGTGCTAGAGAGCAGAGCAGGAGAGCAGCAACTCCGCAGCTTGGGGACTTCACCCAGTTCTTCCAGTCTCAGGAAAGGGCCAAGAAAGTCCAGGCTATGAACTTAGAGAAGAGCTACTTGCCGAGAGGCTTGGTGGTATATTGTCATGTGGGAACGCTGGTGGACAAAGACCCTTATCTTGGACCCAGAAGCCCTGGAACATCCCAAGAATAGGCCATCTTCTGGTCCAGAGGACCACTAGGACCTGCAGTGAGCCACTCTAGGGTTTGGAATATGGATTATGGGGCTCTATGGCCTTAAAGTAGCCACCCTGTGACTTTATGGCTTATGGCTATCTGTGTATTGGCAGGAAGTTCT